CCTGAGGTTCTATTTGACAAAGGCTGTTTTCCGATCGTTTTCCGATAGCATTCCGATGCGTACCGACGGAGATATCCGAAACCCGAACATTTTTGCGGGAATCGGTAATAAATCGGCAGAAATGACGAGATTACTCATTTTTGTTTGACTTTTCTTTAATAATTAACTGAAAAACAATCAAGTGAGTTGTTTCTAGAAGTTTCTAGAATAATGTGATACACATATTTTGACATTATTTAGAAAGAAATGTGTAGCTTTGAAAAAAATTGAGTAGTTTACGGAAATCACGTAAACTACCCTGGATCCACCCTTGACTTGGCGTATTTAAAAAACAGCTCAAGACATATATTTTTAATATAGCTTACAATAGGTAATTTTTATCAATTCTAACATAGTTTTCTATTATAGTTTATTTTCCTTATACATATTATATTTATATATACATATATATCTTTTCTTCGTTAGCTTTTTATAGTTATATCTTAATTTATCATAAGTATTGTATATATATGTTTATTATATGGCAAGGTAATTTCACGCGCTATGATTGGTCAATTTGCGGTCCATAACTTAAGGTACGGACCGAAAAATGAAATGGTTCACTGAGTGTTCGTACTTATGATCTTTTAAAACATTCAAATCTTTATCAAAAAAATATATTTGTCGATGAAAATCGTCGAGAAACCTTCAATAAATAATTAAAGATAACTGAAAGTCACTGGTATTTAATATAAAACTTATCAAACAAGCGACAACTCTTTCATACAAGCGAAACTCTTTCGATCAAGGCTCTACACGGCAGTAGTTGAGCGATTTTGTACGACTAGAAAAAACTAGAAAAACTAGCTATGCTAAAGCTAAAGCTGAGTCAAACTACGAACTAAAGGGTGGTGAACAGCGGCTAATTCAGTAAATGAAAAAAAGATAGGTTTACAAGTAGAATTAGCGTAAAATTGTTATTTCAGTGAGCTAACAACGTCCAGTTTGAACTTATCTGAATCGATCGGGTGAAGAAGCCAGTAGTTTCTTTGGTAAACGTTTTAAGCAGTTTTCTAGGCTCATCCATCTTGAAGTATTTCCATACTTCAGTAATATTTCACCCCCACTTTAATTTGAATGCATTTTTAGACAGGAGAGTTGGCAGTACCTTTTTTAATTGGGTCGAAAGTGTGCCGTCTTCATGACTTCAGCCATTGTGCATATGGCGGCCTGCTTCAAACAGTCAAAACGTTGAAAATTGACGAAAACTATCCATGTTCAGCCAGCCGTAATTTTCTAAAGCTTCGCATTCATTTCTGGAGACAGGTTTTCCTCAATAAAAGGCTGGAAAACAAGCGGAAGGCTGTAGTATTTTTCATCTAGGTTGTGAATAGCTTTAAGTTTGAAGTACGACGGTTTTCTTCTCAATCTCATGTTGAGTTCTTGAGGTCTTCTTCTGATGCCTTTGTTGCTTTGCATTTACATGTTTTGCAAAAGAAAGCCTCAATTTAGTTAACTAGTATTTCATAAAACTTTAAGCTATTGCTAAATTCATTCAAAGTAAACTAAAACTTCTCTTTTTGAGCGACTCAAACATACGTGACTTGTAGCACGTACAGAAAGACCTTCCAAATGCAGTTCTCGTTTGACATGCGCTGTTAAATTTACTTTTTGTTGCTTCGCCCCTTTTTAATCTCAATACCTTGCCATATAATAAATATCTTATTAACCTCGTTTGCTCGGTCCGTACC